GATGGGGACAGGGATGCAGAGGGATATCCAGGATGGGGACAGGGATGCAGAGGGATGCCCTGGTGATGACATGGGGAAGTGGGGACGTCTCTACTCAGCAATGGGATCCATGTCCCACCTCAGCAGTTGGATCCATGTCCCCCTCAGCAGTGGGATCCACATCCCCAAAGCAGTGCAATTCACATCCTCACATCAGCAAGATCCACATCCCCACATCAGCAAGATCCACATCCCCAAAGCAGTGCAATTCACATCCCCACATCAGCAAGATCCACATCCCCACAGCAGTGGGATCCACATCCCCACATCAGCAAGATCCACATCCCCTCAGCAGTTGGATCCACGTTCTGCCCCACCAGTGGGATCCCTGCCCCTCCAGCTCAGAGCAGGGATCGCTCCCTCCCGTCCCATCCCGTGTTTCCCGGGCAGATCCAGCTCCAGCTCCAGAGGGCGGCTCCAGCGGCTCCAGCAGCTCCAGAGGGCGGATCCAGCTGCAGCTCCAGCTCCAGAGGGCGGATCCAGCTGCGGATCCAGAGGGCGGCTCCAGCTGCAGCTCCAGCTCCAGAGGGTGGATCCAGCTGCAGCTCCAGCTCCAGAGGGCGGCTCCAGCGGCTCCCGCAGCCCCTCCCGCCCCCGCGGTCACACACACCTCGCCCGGCTCTGCCGTCACTCAGCCGCACGTCTGGAAGTTGTTCTTGGATGGGCCCTGGGCATTCCTAGACGCACATTCCTGGCAGCCGGAGAGCCCCGTAGGAAAGATTCTTCCCTTGAAAATATCCGGTCCACGTGGAGGGGAAAAGGGGACGGGGCACGCGCGGCCCTCCCGCCCCCATCCCGGCGTTCCTGGGATCCTGGGGATCCCGGGATCCGGCACCAGGACACCCCCCGAGCCCCCCGGGTGACCACAGTCCTGATCCAGCAGCTCTGAGGGTGGGGGGGTCTCTGCACCCCCAGCAGTGCTTCCCAGAGGAGTGGGATCCCAGAGGGTCCGGCACAAACCCTGGGGTCAGGAATGCCATCCCGAGCACCCCACGCTCTGCAGGGAGGGGGGATCTGAAGATCCAAAGGGAGGCAGGATCCAAGGGGATCAGCAGAGCCTTGGAGCAGGGAATGGGAGCGAGTCCTCCCCCCCTCCACAGGTCCTAAAGCAGGGGATGGATCACAGTGAGGGATTCCAGGATTGGAATCGCCGGGAGAAGGTTCCTGCCCCGGGCTCTGCTGCCCTGCCAGGGCTGGGAAGCGATGGACATCCCAAAGTGGGACATCCCAAAGTGGGACATCCTGGGAGCTCTGTGGGAGAGCTGCAGAGTCAGGGGCTGGGACGCTGCCCCAGTCCCAAATCCCCAGGATTTTCACAATTCCCGAGCCCGTGCCGGGTCTGGAGCTCCGGCCTGACCCGGAGCCGAGGGTCACCGGCCCATGGACCTGCTCTCCGTGCTGGGGGTGAGCTGGAGGAGCTCTGGGGGATGCAGGAGATGGATGTGGAAGGACAGCAGGGACAGCAGGGAGAGCGCCCGGGGCTGGAAGGTGCTCGTTAGCGGGGCTAACCGAAAGCAGATGCGGCGGGAGCCGGCGCTTCCAAAGCACACACCGAGAGCGCCCGGCACGGCCCGGCCGGGGATGACAGCGGGGTTGGATTTCGGAAGCTGCTGAGACGTGGATTAAGTGTGGGAGCACACGGGGAAGGTGCAGAATTCCGACTGGGAGCGACAACCCCCTCCCCACGCAGAGCTCGTGGGAGGCACCGCTGGAAGGGGGAAACTGGAGACTTCCCAGCAAATTCCCACTTCCAGCCCCGTAAAGAGCTGCTCATCAACACCAGCCACAGGCACAGGGAGAAGGGGACACATTTCCCACTTCTCCCGGGGTTTGGGGTTGGGATAAGGAAGCCCCGAGCTGAGAGAACTCCCCAGGGCTGCAGAGCTCGGAGATCCACAGGTTCCCTGCGTGGATGTGGGGTCTCGGCCCCACACCTGGGTGGCCTGGGGTGCTGTGGGGATTCCAGGGCTCCGAGGAAGAGGAGGAGGTTGATGGTTGTCACCAGGGCCGAAGGAAGGGTGAGGGAGATGCTCCCAAGGGCTGGAGCCCCTCTGGAGCCAGGCTGGGAGAGCTGGGAATGTTCCCCTGGAGAAGGGAAGGATCCAGGGAGACCTTGGAGAACCTTGCAGGGCCTGAAGGGGCTCCAGGAGAGCTGGAGAGGGATTTGGGATGAGGGCTGGAGGGACAGCACCCAGGGAATGGCTGCCCAGGG